AGGTAGCTAGGTAGCTAGGTAGCTAGGTAGCTAGGTAGCTAGGTAGCTAGGTAGCTAGGTAAGTAGGTAGGTAGGTAGGTAGGTAGGTAGGTAGGTAGGCAGGCAGGTAGGTAGGTAGGTAGGTAGGAAGTTAGGTAGGTAGGTAGGTAGGTAGGTAGGTAGGTAGGTAGGTAGGTAGGCAGAGGTAGGTGGGTAGAGGTAGGTGGTAGGTAGTGCTTGGGCACCATGCATTGTCTTCCAACAGCACAGCTCGTTCACATTCCAGCCGTAATGGAATCCTACGGAGACGTCATGAAATCATGACGTAAGCACGAGAGAGGGTAAGCATAGGACAGAAAGCCTGCCGTTCAAGCTTTCTGTTCATTCAATTGCAAGCATAAGCAACCTACACCCTAAGCCCTAACCCTAAACCCGAAACCCTAAACCTAAACCCTGAACCCCAAACCCTAGCTGAAGCTACACTTACCGTTGTCCTCTCGCTGCTTAAGTGCCCTGATCCTCCGAGGAAGCCCAAAACCCTGGACCTGGAGTCCGAAATCCTAACTCAGGTCGTTTAATGTAGGGGCCTAAATAATTACCAATACCATTTTGGGGGTTCCTTAATTATATAAGTATAGTAGAATGGGCCCGGGCCCAAAACCCTATTCTAGTTATGAAGGCCCCTAAATTCGAGATAGTCTTTCTTATATAATGTTTTTTCCGGGCCATGAGGCAAGCGGACTACGTTGCCAGCTTTGTTTGTTCGATTCGGCGCACTGCAGTGCCTGTGGCTGCTTCAGGCATACCGGTAGGATTAGGGGAGCATGAGCCAGCAGGTTGTAGGTAGGGGTTTCCGAAAATAGGGGAGCCTAATATAGTACCCTAAATAATAGGATCCTTATTATAAGGACCCCAAAAGAAGGTACCCCTAATTTTCGGAAAGTCCCAAGTAGAGGAACTACTGCCGCCTGATCTTCGGGGCGTACGTAGAACTGGGTTCACTCTTTGCAAATTTCGCTGCGAATGGTTCTGATGCTATGATTCGGAATAACCTTCTTCTACATCTTATAGGTCTACGAAGTACTCGTGACAAAATTGTGACAGGAGGTTGAGAAAGGCTGCGCTGCTTTTGGATAGGAGCTCCTTGTCGGGGTGATTAGCTAGCCTATCGAGTAACCCTAAGGCTCTGAGGACTCATATTCTGAGGCTTTTGGGCCCAAAGACCATACTATGACCGATGTAGGGCTTCTGGGCTATTTTGAGCCTTAGGGTAAGAGACTACTTGACAGGATGATGGGTGCGAAGCATCACGACCCAAAGGGTTTAGGGTGTAGGGTTCATTACTAGTCGTAGACTGTTCTGGGGGATACTTTCCCCAAACCAAAGTTCATACAAATCCTACTATAACCCTACATCCTACCATATTATAGATAGTTAGGACCCTTTGGACCAGTAGCTAGACGCAGTCGCTTCCTCGATCGTGTTCGGAAAGCAGAGCGGGCAAGTCAACATTGCTTCCAGTTAGATCCCTTGACGATAGATGTTTTGTGTCATGTGTCGAGTTTTGTCGCTGCCAAGCCCGAGCCCGAATGCCTCCAGGATCTTGATTGGGCACTACAGACGTCAGGATTTGTCTACTCGAGCCCTCAGTAGCTGAGTGGATACACTTTACACTTTCCGGATAACATTACATACTATAAACCTGAAAGTGTGCACTTTTGGGGGCTTATGAACTCAGCAACTAAGAGCCTGAATCCACGAACGCCCAAAGGCCAAATCCTGGCACGGGAAACTTCACAGAAAGGTAGGTGGGAAGCGGGGTCTTACAACAAAGGTAGGTAGCTGGATTCTACGGCCTTTGGGGTTTGGGGCTTCGCAGTGTGCGGCCCTAGGTCATTGCGGGTGCATTCGAGCATGGAAGTATCGCTGATCCACCAGCTTCGTGCGTATTGACCCTAAACCCCTATCCCCTTAACCCTAAACTCCCATCCCGGAACCCCTAAACCCCAAACCCTAAACGTATTTCCTAAAGAGCCCAAAACAGCTCGGTTGCTGCAGCTGAGGTGACTGGGCTACCATACTAGGGGTCTATTGTACATAATATGGTTTCTTTATTATGGTAACTTCAACTACATCCCTAAACCCTAAACCCTAAATCCTTCACCCTAAATCCCTAAACCCTAAACCCTAAATCCCTTAACCCCTAAGTCTCAGGTGACGAGGATGGCTTCCACTTTGCCAATATCGTCTCGATCGGACCGTGCGCTCGGTTTCTGGATGGTTCTAGCGTTTAGGGTTTGGGGTTTAGGGATTTGGGTTTAGGGTCTAAGGTTTGGGGTTTAGGGTTTAGTGGTTTAGGGTGTAAGGTTTAGGGTTTAGGGTTTAGGGTCTAAGGTTTAGGGTTTAGGGTTTAGGGGTTCGGGTTCAAGGCTTGCTTGGAGGGTTGGGGAACTTAGTAAGCAGGGAGTACGTAGAGGTATAAGTACCCTGAAAGGGACCCTAGCGGGGGTCAGGCTTCCTATAACTCTAAACAACTAACTACTTACTAAGTCCCCCGACTTTGCTTGAACTCGATTGATAGAAAAACAAACCTTCGTTGTTTCCTTCGGACTTCTTTTGTATATTAGCCTTAAAAGGTAGGCTGTTTGGGGTTAAGGTGGTGTTTTGTGACGTCGCTAGGGCCGCTAGGACCTGCAAGTTTCGGTTTAGGGTTTAGGGTTTGGGATTTATAGGGTTTAGGGTTTAGGGTTTAGGGTTTAGGGTTTAGGGTTTAGGTCTGGGGTTCAGGGTACCCTAAACCCTAAACCCTAATCCGTGGGATCAGGGTATACTCTAAAGGCCCAAGCCCTGAACACGAAACGCCACACCCCGAACCGTAAAGCCTGAAGCCTAAACCCGAAACCACTAAACCCGAAGCCCCTGACCCCGAAACCCTAAACCCTGAACCTGAGGCTCAAAATAGCCCAAGAGCCCTATAGAGAATCCCAGCAAATCAAGTGGGCGTTGCTGTGCCTGGTGTTGTGCTGGTGACATTGAGCTTCCATTCGAGGAAATCCACATCGAGCTTCCAGCCTGGAGGCGCCACATGCTCGCAGAGAATCCAGCGCCACCTTGGAACGCTGGAGAAGCGGGTGCTATGCTGGGACCATCGTTGGGCTACCAGCTTCAGCCCTCAAAGTTTTATCTGCCGGACCTCTTTCATATCTACTTGGCTGGGGTCGGGCAGGATTTCTGCGCTAGTGCACTCATATACATGTCACCGTTCTCTTTCTCAGGCCTGAACGGAAACAATGCCTTGGAAGACCAACTGGACAACATGACACATAGCTTATATGCGTGGCGCAAAGAGAACAAGATCCAAGCGCATGTGGTAAGCTTTTCAAAAGAGAAGCTCGGGTATGTAAATGCCACCGACGCCTGTAAGAGAGGCTTCCCTGAACATACGTTTCCAAACAAGCCAAACCCTGTAGCCCCGAACCCCTATAAAGCTACTGCGGCCCAGACCCAGTTCGATTCCGAACTTTAGTTGGTAAACCCCAGAACCAAACAAAGCCCACCATGTTGTCTGTGATGCCTAGTAAGTGTTGCAAGAAGTCTTTGCCTACATGTATTAAAGCATGCTGTGATATGGATTGTGGCTTCTTGCCACAGTGTCGTGCTTATTTACCAAAACATGGATTTGTGGTGTCTTTGTGAAAAGCAGAACGCTTAGTTTCTTCCAAAACGCTCTGTTTCCGTTTTCTAGAAGAACCGGGGTCCAGGTATATAGCATGGTCTTTGGGCCCAAAAGCCCTAAAATACGAGCCCTTAGAGCCTTAGGGTTTATTGTTTTAGGGTTTAAGGGTTGAGGGGTTTGGGGTTTTGGCGTTAGGGTTTAGGGTTAAGGGTTTGGGGTTTGGGCTTCAGGGTTTAGGGTTTAGGGTTTAGGGTTTAGGGTAACTGCAGGTTGTGGGGTTTCGCGTTTTGGGGCTTAGGGCAGGGGTTTAATATTGAAAGTGTAGCGTTTTTGGATTTTAGGTTCTCGGTTTGCAGTGTAAGCCCCAAAGTAGGAAACCCAATGGCCTCAATCCTTAAGAGTAATGTACAGGGAATTCCAACACTACTTGTCCTGAATTAATTAATCGGTTTCCATCCTTTTTGGCTTGGGGCTTTAGGGTTTTGGGGTTTGGGGTTGGGTACCCACACAGTAGATGCTTCGGCCTGAAAGCAGTCTTTACGTAGGTACTTTCGGGCTAGAGTATAAACTACTTCGGTACATGGACCCCCCACAGATGATCCCGAAGTTTCAACATCAGATCTCTTCTATTCTGGCTTGCTTGATCCTCACCCTTGCGAGAACCCTCGAACACCTCAGTCAGCCCAAGAATTCAAGAAATCATCGAAAAACCGACGAAGAACTCTCTCCTTAAACCCTACTACCAAAACCGACTTTTTTGTAGGTCCCCATTATAAACCCTAATATGGGATTTATGGGGACCCGACAAAAAAGTAGGTTCTGGTGGGTTAAGGTAAACCCTAAAACCCTAAACCCTAAACCTCTAAACCTCTAAACCGTAAACCCTAAACCCCTAAAGCCCTAAACCCTAAAACCCGTCAAAGCACACCCTCGACCTGGACGCCGCGTCGCAGGATGCATCCTCGTTTTAAGGGTTCTACCCTCTAATTAAGGGGTCATGACCTACTATTTTGTAGGGTTCGGGGTCACAGGTAGGGGTTTAGGGTTTAGGGATGCCGCGTCGCAGGATGCATCCTCCTGTCTTCGTTGGCGAATCAGCTGCTGATTCGGCCTGCGAGAAAAAGGACCACATGGAACGGTTTAGGGGTTTAGGGTTTAGGGAATGAAATATAGGGGCCACAAAAATTAGAATAGGGTTTTGGGGCCCATGATATTATGATTACGGTTTAGGGGTTTAGGCTAATATAGGGGCCTTGATAATTAGAATTGGGTTCCTTTAATAGGTTCCCGGAATTTTTCCTATAAGGGCTACTATGAGTGTTTAGGGTGTAGGGGCCTCAATAATTAGAATGGGGTTTTGGGGCCCATGATACTATGATTATAGTAAGGAACCCCGAAAACCAAAGTCTGATTATGTAGACCCCTGCATTACATGGCGTGTAGTTCTGGGTTGCGGGCGGTTTTGGGTTTCGTGATCTCGGCCGGTTAAAGGTTTAGGGTTTGCCTAATCCCGACACCCTTAACCCCAAACCCGCTACTAGGCGTCGACCAGAGGACCGCGGCGGCCAGCACAGGCGACGCTACCGGACTCTGGCCCCCCGCTGAGCCTGCCTCCTTCCAAGACGAAGTCGCAGAGGTCGCAAAGAGGTTGGCTCAAGTCAGCCTCCACGACCAGGAGTACCTGGTGGTCGACGCGGAGACCCTGGACACCCAGGCGGCAGGACGAGAAGAGGTCACGAAGGACCTTGAGGAAGGAAACTGCGAGCTGGCCTCGGACCTTGACTTCCGAATAGACGGAAGGGATGCAGGCCCTACGCAATTGCAGATTAGTAAACCGGTAGTAACTACCCATAGGCTCCATAGTAGTTCCTTTTGGGATTACCTTGTAGGGTCATAAATATAAGCCACAAAAAGGAACTGCTATGGGGCCGATGGGTTCCTCGTCGTAAAACGGTAGTAACTAGTTGTTTTCTTACTTTACTTGCTGTAACTGGCACTTAAAGATCAGCTTACCACCCACTTACTAGAAGTCTCTGATCCACCAAGAACTTTTCGCTGATGCGGACCCTCCAAACCTAAAGCCAGAATCGTAAACCCTGAGGGCAATAACCTTCAATTCAAAGTGTGTGCGTGTGTCCTAGAACACCGCCAACCATCCCGCAGAAGACCTTCCACCCCGAGCCCAAAGAACCGCAACAAAGACATGCTAAGCGCTACTTGTAAGCCCTATAAGCTCCTGAACCCTAAGCCCTGAAGCAACACATCCTCAACAGGCAGGCCGTAGACCCTGTAACAAGGCTAGCCCGTTTTCATGGAACTATACAGAACCTAACGCCCTTGGCATTGGCTCCAACTGCAAGGAAGTACACTTTCTTCCCAGACCCCCAAAAGGATCTAAAATCCTCTAATTAGGGACCCTAGCTACTAAAGGGTACTTTCTAGGAACCCCCTTAGGAGATCTATTTTTTAGATCCTTTTGGGGGTCTGGGTTCCGGAGC